GCATTGCCGAAGTACGTCGACTACTCACCTCTTCAGAGCCTGTGCTGATTGACATTGTGCAGAAGCCAGGCATGACTGATCATCGTTTCATAGAGGAGCAAGAACGGCAGTTGTTTGCACTGTGCAAACGCACCATGGCGCTGCCATTGGGACGTGGTATGTTTACGCTGCGCACTTCCATACCAACACCCACCGAGTTGATGCCAATACCCAAGTTGTGTCTCTCAGGCAAGGAGCCGGTAAAGGGTGCCACAATTGAAATGCAACAAATCGAACTACCGCCGAATATGAGTCTTTGGCCCTCATTCCACAATGGCGTCGCTGCAGGTTTGAAAATTTCACCGCAAGCACGCGATGTAGACTCCACATGGATCGTTTATAATAAACCTAAAGGACAAGAAGACGTTTCGACAGAGCATGCGGGCTTTCTCATGGCTCTCGGATTGAATGGTCACCTTAAAACACTTTCGTTTATGAGCATCTATGAATATTTGGTAAAATGTGATGAGATGACTAGCGTCGGTTTGCTCTTGGGCATTTCTGCAACGCATCGTGGTGGTATGGATAATACAACAACAAAATTATTGAGTTTGCACGTTGAAGCGTTGTTGCCAACAACCGCTTTGGAATTGGATATACCACAAAATATACAGGTAGCTTCACTAATGGGCATCGGACTTTTGTATCAGGGATCTGCGAAACGTCATATTGCCGAGGTGCTGTTGCAGGAAGTGGGTGAGTGGCTGAAAAATTACTCAAATTTCTTCTTTTTTTTAAATACACTACCGAAGTTAGTTGTTATTGTTGTATCGGCACCACCTTTCATCTACGGGCAGATCAAGAAAGCCGGCTGTTTCTACAGAGTCTGGTGTAAGAAAAAGGCTTGTTAAGTTAAGAGGTGGTAGGCAATATCAGCAACATTGACAGCAAAAATTATTACTGTTTAAGTTAACGACTATTGGACTCGGTCCAGGTCGCTTAGGCGGTTGTATCGCAACTTCATACTTTTTAAATCCATTCTGCAGGTCGGCCACCTGGTCCGGAAATGGAGAATAGCATCGAACGCGAATCGTATGCTTTGACCGCCGGTCTTGCATTGGGCTTAGTCACGTTGGGTCTGGGTGATTCGCCAGCCGGCCTGCTTGATCTTCAAATTCCCGATACACTCCACTATTACATGGTTGGCGGCAATAAGCGACAACTCACCGGCTCGCAAAAGGAAAAATACAAATTGCCTTCATTTCAAGTGCGCGAAGGTGACAATGTCAATATCGATGTTACTGCACCCGGTGCGACACTAGCACTTGGTCTCATGTTCTTCAATACGAATAATCGCGCCGTCGCCGAGTGGATGGATCCACCAAACACGCATTATCTGCTTGACTTGGTGCGGCCCGACTTGCTTATGTTGCGCTCGATTGCGCGCGGTCTAATACTCTGGGCCGATATAAAGCCCGACGCTGAGTGGTTATTTGGCCAGTTTCCGTCGAATTTCAAAATAGATCTCGAACGTCCCTACTATTGGGGTGATAAGTATGAGACGAGCGTTGACTATGAATCCGAAGCGTGAGTATTTAAACAAATAAATATACAAATTTAGTTAACTATTTACTCTGACTTACAGTCAAGCTTGGTGCAATGTCATTGCGGGCGCTTCATTCTGCATGGGTCTCAAATACGCGGGTAGCGAGAATCCGGAAGCTTTCAAAACCTTGCATAAAGCACTTAAAACATTTATTGGTTTTCAAAGTAAACATGTATTCGAATTCGCTGGCTACACAACGGTGGAGTGTTGCCTAATGGTTATTCTGATTGCAATCTCATTGGTTTTCGCCGGTTCGGGTGATCTGGAAATCTTGCGCATCATACGTTATTTGCGTTCGCGCATCAGTTTTCGCGATCGTTGTCGCGTCAATTACAATCCTAATGTCACATTCGGTTCACAAATGGCTATACACATGTCGCTGGGGTTGCTCTTCTTGGGTGCCGGACGTTATACGATTGCTAATACTCCGGAAGCGGTGGCGGCGTTGATTTGTGCATTCTTTCCCAAATTTCCGAATCACAGCAACGACAATAGGTGAGTGAAAGATTAAAATAAAACGTCTTTAATACGGATTAAACGGAAGTGCATCTCCCTTCCTTATTCGCTCTTTGTCGGGAATTTGAAACAAACCATAAACTATTTGAGAAAAGTTTCACTTCCGTATTGTGGCCCAGATACAGTAATATTTTTACTTAATCACATAATTTTTCTAAGATATCATCTGCAAGCCTTCCGCCATTTGTATGTGCTGGCCGTGGAGCCACGTCTCTTTCTGCCACGGGATATCGATACGAAAAAGTTATGTCTCTGTCAAATATCAGTGCTGGAAGTGGGTAGTAAGGAACTGCGTCGCCTGCCCATGGCACCCTGCATGCTGCCACCTCTAGACAATTTGCAGAAAGTAATCGTAGACGACGCCAATTATTGGCCAGTTTGCTTTGAGAAGGAACGCAATTGGTCGCAATTGATGTAAGCGTAAATTACGATATTTTTAATTGTTTACACAAATAAGCTTTTTTAAACTTTCAGCAAAGCTTTAAAAAACTCCGCTTGTATTGATATTAAAAAACGTTCCGGCTGCCTTTCTCACCTGGAAGATCCCGATCGTCTGAAGAGCCTCTTTGCGCAAACGCTAACCACCGAGCAGTATACATGCTGGCATGTTAATGCTACTGCACTGGAGCGCTTCTCCAATGATCCATTCGTTACGAGTTTCACCGATCGGTTTTTACATATCGATGCCGAGGTTATTACACAAGACGAATTGCTTAAGATACAGCAGCTAACAATGCTCTTCTACAATGCCGTCATCAAGGATAAGATGCATGTGTTACCCATTTATCTGACGACTTTCAATGTTAGTAAGATATGCAATATTTGCTCGACCCTAAATAAAGTTCGGAAGTGTAATTTACTTCACGAAACGAAAAGCCTTAAACATTTTTGCTTACAACTAATTTTTCCCACATACTCACAGCTCATCCAACGCATGCAAGTTAAGCCCCAATGCAACGATGTTTGGCAAATTAAGTTGATTGATTTGTATATGGAAAAATATGAGCAACCACATATATTGCTGACCAGCGAACTGATGCATGCGCAGCTGGAAAGATTCAAAATGTTCATTGAGAATACGCGGCGAGTGTTAGCGGCGCCATTGCGTCGCTTCATCAGCGCCAGCAGCTTTGAGCCAAGCGTTATTACTGATCTTACAGCGGAGGAGGTAGCGCGTTTACTCGCTGTAGTAAATTATTATAATTTAACGCCGAATTTGCTAAATTTGGTCGATCTTAGCGGTACAGTTAATTACATAAGGTATTTATACGAGTTTAAGAAACTCAATCTAGATGTACAAACTATAAATTGTTTAATTAAAGTGCTGCTACAAACAAGTGGCAATGAAGCTGCTTAGAAAAAGCTATTTCTCTGCCACAAAAGAAATTTAAAACTAATTTTGCTGCAGAAAAAATGGCGTGTTTACAGATTAAAGTGGGTCCGTTTTTGTATTTAAATAAAAGATTTATTGCACAAAATTGTTGTGTATAATTTAAACAGAAAATATAAATATAGAATATTGCTTTTAAATGTAAAATGCAGGCGCATTACACGCTAACAAATGCTAATTTATTTCTATCCGAGAAGCGAGGATAAAGGCGACTCCTTTTGCGGCACAATTTTTTAACAAACTTTAAAGCTATTTTTTTTACTGTTGCATTGTTAAAAAGTCTTCGTAATACGTTAAGGCTACGATAAAAAAAAATGTAATAAAACCACAAACAAAAAAATATGCTGGCGCTTTTTGTAAGCCCCTCTACCCATGAAATATCTAAGTTGTGATGTAATAATAAAACTGATTAAAGATCATTTCCGAACCCCTGTGCACGCTTTGTTCCCTAATTTCTATGAGTTGGTGTAATCGTTTGCGTGTCCACTTGTCCCTCTACGATGCCACGCTCAGCGCAACGCTTATAGATATACAAGCCTAGCAGTGGGAACGGTGTTAGAATGGCCACAGAGACAGGTATGACTGTGGTCAGATCGGCTTCTGGTTGCGGCAAACTGAAGCGCAAAAGGAAAATCGAAATGCCCGTATTTTGTATGCCAGTCTCAATGGCAATCGTGAGGGAATCAACGGAGCTGCGACGCAAAGCTTTCGCCACACACCACCCAAACACGTAACCCAGCCAAGGCAGCGCCAACCCGGCAACAATAATCTGTGAAAACAATAAAATAAAAAAATTTGTAATTAAAACATATCAAAACTCGGCCACTCTCTATCACTTACCTGCCACGAGAACAATTTGAACAAGTAAAGGTTTGTAACGATCGCAAAAATTACAATAAAAAGTATGAGGCAGGTGGAAATCGGCTTGAGCAACCGCACCAGCACACGTGCTACGCGTGGTAACCAACGTTGTATGGCCAGTCCGATGGCAAGTGGCACTACCAGCGATACCGCAAATGTAGCAATATTTGCATAGGGCACCGTAATGTTTGCACGATCGAAAATCAATTGACCGAGCGTGAAAATCCACAATGGCATCATGCCAAAAGCAGCAAAATTGCTAATGGTGGTCATCAGCACGGATAGATTAATATTGCCACCCAAGATGACGGCCCAGATATTGGATGCGCCACCACTCGGAGAAACGCCCGTAAAAAAGAGACCGAGCTGCAATTCTGGCGAATCGGGAAATATGAGCACACCCAGACCATAGCCCAAGAGGGGCATAATAATAAACTGCGTAAGAAAACCAGTGATGGGCGCTACAGGACGCGCCAATAAGCTGCGCAGCACTGTTACATCTAAAGCGGCGCCGAAATTTATGTACAACAGCGAAACGAGTAACGCAACAGAACCGGTAAAGATGTGATCGATGATGCGCGTGCGTCGTATGATTGTTAGCTCGAGCGTACCGTCAGCGCGATCTGTGGTATTGACGCGACGCACAAAGGCTTTAGTGGAGCCAAGAAAGATGGCATCGACTGTGATGTTACCGCGCCATTCAAGGGTAGTGGAATTAATAACATCCGCTGGTATGAGATGCTGCACACTGGCCAAATTGGGATTCTCACTAAGCACTTCAAATGCGGCGTTCAGTGGCAAATCTGTGAAGAATTTATGAGTGGTATGAATATTCTTATAAAATTGTATTAAGCTTTGGGTATATAACAGATACAAATTAGTTTTATTTAATTGTTTTTAGAAAAAAAAATCACTTGGAAGAACATCGTATTCCAAAAAAGGACTAGTAAAAAAGGAAGCTTTTATTTTCTACTCGATTAAATAAAGATTTTGAGTTTTCAAACCATTTCTGGCATCGGTTGCGGTAGTCCGATTTTGGTCAAAAAGTGGTTAATAGAAATTCTAAAATCATCTATGTAGACAAATTTTTACCCTAACAAATATCTCTTGATCAGAAATCGATTTTGACTACCTCGGTTAATGTGCATTAGACCGTATTACAAAAAAAAGCTTAATTTGCTCCAAGCGATTTTCAGCACTCACTATGAGAGTTTCAGGAGTGTAAATTTTTTTGACATCCTGTTAAAAGAACCTAAATCGGTTTTATTTGTATAATAAATGAATATCCTATCAAGACAAATTAAAAAATTATAATTTTTTCTGCAAATGGTACCCTATATACGATAGAAAAAGCTTGCAAAAAAAATGTAGAAAAAACGCTTGAAGACAATTCGAACTTTTTTGGCCTTTACACTTAACTTTGCTACGGTCTAATTTTTATATATAGTTATTATTTTTTTTTTTAATAAAAAGTTTCACAAAATATATACATATATTTAAAACCAGGCAGTATTTACTGCACATTTCAGAAATTACATTCCCATTACAGGGCATTTAACAGCAAAAAGTGCACCTCTGTTATTCACCCACTTAACATTATGTGTAAATTGTACATACCAGTTAGTTCCAGCAATACTTCAGCGCTGGTGCCCATATGCATTTGCAACTGCTGGGGTGTGA